TCATAGAGGGAGGGGAAGGAGAGAGGTTCTCTCTGCAGGGGATCAGGTAACGACTCACTTAAGAGTCAACCTAAACAGCTGGAATTATGAAATTGTCTTTTAGTAATAATTTGGTTGAAGTAGTGAAATATGTTATATATATATATATATATATATATATATATATAGGGACACTGCTTAAATTGAATCGCACACCTCACGAATCAACTTAGATAGCTTTCAAATGAAGTTAGAATCAATAAACGAGACGTTTACGGAAGATCAGTTACGCTGTGAAAAACCCGACTGAGCTTGATCTTTCGCGAAATGTTTCAGCTGAGAAAATACCTGTATTTAAGAGAACCTATTTGCTTATCCTATTGGTGTATGTTCGAATTTCCTGGGAATTTTCGAAGTAATTTCTACGTCTCTCGACTTCGCAAGCGCTGCTGAACACGTAAGGCTTTCCTCGATCTCTATTTCGGTGGATTAACCCGTTCATAATTGGATTTTGTGTTTATTTACGTGTAGATTAAACACATCACTCGTCCCTTTTATGGCGATGCGGAATGGTAGGAAAAAGCTTTACTACCATTGTCGATACGCTGCCCCATTACGAACATAATCCTGTCGCAGACACGGTCCTGCTGCGCTTCCACTTCGCTACTGACCTTCATTTTGAGCGGGGTTAAGGCTCCAACCTAACTTTAAACGTGCTGATTTAGAGTAGAAATTGTATATGGTACAAAACATTGAGTGATTTTTAATTGAAAGCTGCTTTCTCGTTCGAAACAATCGATAACATTGATTGGTAACATTTCTACAGCGGGATATGGCCACCTTATCATGATTAGGGGTAACCGCCAGATATCCTAATCTACGAATGCGTACGGTGTAACAAGCTACAATACAACGCTGCGATAAAATTGCTAGATCTAAAATTCCCTCTAGAGTATAGAGGAAAAAAGCTTGAAATTATATCGGTAATGTTGCTTTAGATAACAGATACTACTATGGATGTGTCTAGAATACGAGAAAAAGGTGAGAAATAATTGAAGTTTTCCAATTATCTAGCGGATTTAGCGTATCTGGCGGATTTCTTGACAAATGTATAAAGCATGATCGACAGACAAATGCTGATGCGTCATCAACATTATTCCATAACTGCGTTGTTACGTATGCACAGTTGATAGGACACCAGCATAACTAACTCACTGTGTAAATGTCTTAACAAATTGTTGTTCCAGATGACCTGTCTACATCAAGAACGTTTTACCGAAGCCAAAACTCATTGATTGATATAAACTTCATTCGGACACTTAACGGATTAAGTTCTAATTTTCTTATTACAGTTCCGTTCTAAGTTATTGCGTTTCTGTACTTGGCTGTCTTTATTAAAGCATGTATATTCACTAGATGCCTCAGTAGACCCTTCGCTGGAAGCTACTGTCGAGGCTTCACTAGATGCCTCAGTAGACCCTTCACTAGAAGCTCCTGTGGCAGCTTCACTAGTTGCTCCTGTTGAAGACGCCGTGGAGGATTGTTCCAACATTTCGGTAGAGGATTCAGTAGTTTGCTCGGACGGGGGAACACTTGTTGTTTCTTCGGAAAGAGCTTCCGTGGAGCTGCCGCTAGACACCTCACTTGAAGATTCTACAGTTGATAATTCACTTGAAGTATGGGTAGTTGATGATTCTTGTGGTGGAACGTCACTAGAGCTCTCCGTGGACGTATTTTCCATCGAAGCAAATAAGAAGAGGCTGGTCATTTTCGAAGGTTCGGTGCTCGATGCAGTCGCAGTGTCGGCTGCGCCCTCTGAAGAAGCCTCAACTGTGGTTGTGCTTTCAGTAGAACCAGTCACTTCACTTACTGCTTCGAGATCTGGAATCGTTGTAGTAGACACTGATTTAACGTCATCGGAAGGAATGGGAGTGGTACCTGTTTCGTCCTCTTCGTCTTCGCACATATAGTTACAGCAAATGTCCTTTGTTGGTGGCAATAATGTACAACCGTCCTCAACACATTCTTCTACAGCACAGACAAGTTCCTCGAAGAGGCATGTGCAACTCTTACAAGGGTCATCCTGAGGTACCGTTGTGTTGTGCGAATACGTTTTGCCGTCGATGACGCAATCTGCGAGAACAAATAAAATCCAATTTGAAAACATGTATTACGTATATAATTATAGGACATTTATCAAGCTGACCAACAAGCATACAAACATTATGATAGAAAACGTATCTGCCCAGTAACAAAGGGTCTATAGCTTTATTCCCTATCCATTTTGTCCGATCATGTTTTCTTATCGGTAGTAAAAAGTGTCTGTGTATGTAGTGAGTCACTATACAATTGCTATACAAGCTTGTCGGTACTTCATATTTCACGGTCGACTATTATAGCAATTTACCATTGAGACTGGGAGCCGGCGTCGTTTTGTCTTGAGGGCAGTCGTAGTAGGGGCAGCACTGGCTATCTTCCTTGACCACCTTACAATTCGAAACGTCCTCTTGAGGCTCATGGCAGGAGATGTGATCACACTGAATTACACCTTCGGCTCCACATGTGCAGTTGGCTAAGCACGGGTCTTTCATCCGAATAGTCTCACTTATTTTGTACACCACGCCGTCGACATCACACCTGGAAGAACTGAGAAACTGTGTTATTGCACTATGTTCAAACGATTTTCTATCCGCCAAATTATGTGCTACACAGAGGAACTTACTCATCGGCTCTTCCTTGCTCCTCTCGGGACCCGCCATCGGAGATCCGTGTGGTTTCCTCAGCTGACGCCGTTGTTGCTTCCGAGAAAAATACAGGTTGTTCCGTTTCAGCAGTAATAGCTTGAGACCCTAGGTCAGTAGAGGAAGTTTCGGTTGCGAGTTCAGGTGAACTAGATGCTGACTTCGGCGTGGTGGTAGTGTCTTCCATTTCTACGGCTGTGGCCTCCTCAAGAGGCACAATTGTAGTCGTCGTAGGGCCTGCTCAGAAAAAGCATAGTATGATGAATAACGGTTTCTGTAGTATGATTATTTAGCAGAATGATAAGTGCATGTTGCTGTAATGACGAGGGTATATATGATAATGATTTCCTAAAGGAGATGATAATTCGATAACTGAGTTACAATGATGTGCTTACAATCAAATTTGGTGGGACAGCATTCTCCTTCTTGAAGTTCTCCAGCGGTGCATCCTGGGGGTGTCTGACACTCCTGGCTCTGACAGATAACAGTATTATTTGGCATGCAATAACAGTTCTGGCACTTGTCGACACTGGGCACTGAGTCACCAGTGACGAACATCATTCCCTCATGCTCACAGCCTCCAGGAGCGACAGTTGTTAAAGTTTCTTGGTCCGCCATAGCAGCTGTAAATTTAAATTAAATAAAAAATAGATTGATATAAAAAATTACACTAAAACAAATGTTTCGGTGCATCTCTATTTTTTATACTGAACTAGGAATAATATTTGGCCTAAAAGCTGGGAACTTGCTCATAAATTATTTGTCTTAGAGTCTCGTAAAATATGGGCCGAAAAATGCGGTCAACAGTTATCGTAAAAGGCCTATTGAATCTCTATGCAGTCATCGTAAACTTCATGTGTTTATATAAAAGTGCATCCACTTATTTGTTCGGATTAAACATTTTCTAAAAAATCTACCATAACTTCTCTTTTCCTGAATATATTCAGAAACAAGATAGTCTTTTTAAAGTATTTATTAATCTATGAGTGACTAATTTATTCGGTGTGTAGGCTTACAGCAATCGTATCTCGAAGGACAACATGTTGGTTTGCGTTTATTAAAAACTGGCGAGCAGCCCTCAATATGTAGCACGCAGTCTTGAAGGACACAAGCAGAACTGTTCCTCACACAGTAGCATGTCTCACAAGGATTTGTGGGGTCCGCAGGCAGCCTTTGGCCGTCAGTGTAGAACTTGTCGTTGATAAAGCAACCTATGTAAAAGCAGTATGGAATATAATTATGTTTCGTGCTAATTTAGGCTAAAGGAAACTCTAACTCAATTTATACTTCGCTAACTTGTTGAAACAAACGTGCTGAGCAACGGAAAATTAAACTTAACATTTGACTTATTGCCTTCTTTATGACCACGTCTTTATCGTATCAAATTAAATCTTAAGTTTAGATTATCCGCAAATAGCTAAGTTACCTGCCATATACAAAAATGTGTTTGTACACGATCTAGTTACTTTACAGACAGGATCTGGTGTTACGGTAAACTAGGATACATTTTCTACGATAAAAAAATGGAATAATTGCAAATCAGGAGGCAATATTTATATTTAAAAAATCACAATTAACGTTTGTTATTGTTGAACTCTCTCAAAAAAAAAAGGACCCCTTATGAGGATCCTCCTGCGTGCTTAATTTGCATGCTCCGACAAAAATCTCGTACAGTCGCCTTTTGCGGATCATACTTCTCTCCAAATAACACATGAATTAAACCCACCGTAGAAATCTTCTTGACATTTTCTCTATTAAGACTAAGGTCTCCTACCCACTTCAGGAATAGAGGCGAACATGATTCCATTGTGCAACAAAGGCAAATATTATCGTTCGGTTATCCGTCAATAAATCTTTATCGAGTTTAAACTGGACGTACATACAGCCTAAATCTGTACTGAAAATGGTTGCGTCAACTTAAAAGCGGGTCGGTCAAGTCACCCCCATCCGTCAAGTGACATTAAGACTGGATGAATTAACTGAGCCCGATTACTTTTCACGCTGACCCAATTTAGAAAGTAGTTGAGCAGAACAAATGTTTCTGTAACTGAACCAGTTAACGGCCGTGTGGGCAAGCTATGGCCTTTTTTACATATAACGAACAGCATCAAGCCTTACGGACTACCGTATGTGATTTCTTAGTTTAATTTGTTTGAAGCTGCTAACACCGTGCATACGGGTGCCACCTTGAGATGGCTCGGATCACATTGATATACCGTTTTCAAGTCCCGTTTAAATGACTAGAATTTTAATTCGTCACACAGCCATAATTTCAGAAGTAAAACTTCATAATATATTATGACATCTTACATGTTATGCTACACATTGACTTATCACACGGATAGAGTTTTTTTTTTAAAAAGCGACAAAAAATTGCATTACGACCAATATTTTCCGTCCGCTGCATATTTATGCTTTTAACGGTGAACTGAACGCAACGTTGGATCGAATTTTCTCAGCAAATGGAAAAAAAGATGAATGTTTTGAATTTTAAGATCAGTTTAACGAATGAAAAAGCATGGCCACGACCGATCGGGTGGCTTGAGATACGGAATCGAGGCTGTAGCGCTCATAATAGCCTCTATATGATCCAAAATGTTTCCATTACTCCCTCCCCACGCTAGCATCAGCATGATATAGATTGCTAATTAACAAATCTTAAGGTGAACTTCTTCTCAGCTTACCTTGGTGATCTCCTGACGGAGCTTCCGTTTCGTATTCATAGTCGATAACAGGGACGGGCACTACGTGATAATTCGGAGAAAAAAGGAACTTACTTGTTTATTACTGGCGGAACTTGCCACAAGCGAAACATCGGCATTCGCGTTTACAGATACGCAGTATACCTTAACTCCTATGGCAAAACCTTCGTCGTTATTACCCAAAATTATTTAGGTTCTAAAAAAGCGATGATGTGCAGAGAACCTGCAATCATGTTGTTAATCAGAAATTAATCATTGGGTTGTTAAAAAGTATTGATCGTTTTATGCTAAAATTGAAGCAAATACTTTTGTATATTTTAAAATAATATTACTAAACCTGACTAATAAAATTCTGCCATTTTTCTAGTGGTATGATAATCTTTTCATCGTAGAACATCTGTAATTTCTAGAAAAAAAGATTGTAAGTATTACATCTTCCCATTGAAACTAAATGAACACCATTAACGGGGTTCTGCAGGGACCGAAACAGATGATGTTGCAGGATTCGGGTTAAATTTTCCATCCAATATTTTGTAATCTTTGCCGGCTAGCTGAAATGTATATGGTCTGGCATTGACAAGGCAAAAGATAACAGCTTCTTTGTTCCCTAGTTCCAATTGATTTTCCTCAATGACTTATTATTATGTTGTTAGTTGTTGACAGTAGAGGTCCAAATCGATCGTTTTATCAACAACTTTATAATGCACGATTCTTTTTCCGATCCCACCAAACACATAGCATCACCCTGTTTGACGTCAGTCTGAGCCTTGTCACAGATTGTGGCTATTTGATATATTTTTCATCAGCCGCTTTTAAGATGGCTTGATTTTCTTACGTTTTAGTAAACTTTGAAAAGGATTGAGTAAATTATTTCGCCTCAACTAGTGTAGTAGTCAGACATCTTTTTTTTTTTTTATAGCCAGTTTCGTTTAGATGGCTTAAGCGTGTTTGGTGGTAAATGTTGAATCCTATGGCTATAGAAATGTCGCTTTTCATCCTAGTAATAATAATAATCTCATCAATTTTTTCCTTAATTGGTCGACAATTACAGGTGTCATCTTTTAGACCAAAATTTCTAGAACGAAGCCGATAGAAGCATCTTTCTCGAAGTCATTTTCTCAATAACGCATCCTGAGCGTAAACAGTAGGGACCATTTTATGCGCCTAGGCAGCATCGTAATAAAAAATGTAAAATTTTCGTTCATTCTCAACGTGCTCTATCTTAAGCCTGAAGCCATTTCCATAATTTCGAACTATCTTAGCTTTCAAGTTACATTAACGCCGGCCCACTGTGACTCGTGACATTGCTAGAGAAGCAATTAACTAAAAAACGGTGAATACTTTTTTGACAACCCAATAGATAGATTACCTTGTGTATTGTATTAGTAAGTATGTAAATTAGTAAGTACATTTTTCTTAGCACAAATTTAGCAGTTAGGTAAATTTCTTTAAAATCGACTGCGCCGGCATCTCCATGTAAAGGATGACCATTGATGGCTTCATACCCACACCACAAGGGTTGATTTGAGAGCAAAACATCAAACGTTGTGGACAAAGCAATTCAGAAGAGAGAGCAATTGCTATTGAAAGTATCTGAGCTGGAATATCATTCCGGACCTTTTCTGCCCGAAACGGTCAGCAATGTTCTTCAAGATTTGGGAACCATAGAAATCAGAGCAGTCCAAGCCACCACCGGTTATGACTGAGCCCCTCACCAGGATAAGCTTAGCTGCGCTTGTGTATTTTATATATATATGTATATATATATATATATATATATATATATGTGCTTAGCGAAATATAAGAAGCCAAACTGAATACTCAACCTCCTGTTTTTTGGCTGCGTAATAGTCAATGTAATATGTCTATGTTCACTATTAGGCTTTGTACCCTAATTTAACTAGGCCTTAGATAATTATCCGACATTGAAAACAAGCTCTATTTAAAGAGAACAAACTTGGGTGACATAAGTTTCTCAAATATGCATGGTTTTCTCTCTCTTTTACGTTTTTCTTATGTGTATTTTGTCCGCTGACCACTTTTGATACGGTCTTGTCATCCACGGAAGAAACCAGACGGGCAATTTTAATCGGCGGCGGTTGTTGCTACTGCTGCACTGGCTCGGAATTTCAGCCGATACCAACTTAGAGCATTTTTCCTTTCATTAGCGTTCCTTACTCTAGTACATCTAGTGTTCATTCATACTTAAGCAACAAGTTCCGATCAGTGAGGTCAGACCTCCTTAAAATGTTACCTAAAGCCAACGCGGTAAGACCCACTTGAGCAACTTTAACTTGTAAAAGGATTATTATTAATTCGGAACGGAACACATTTGAACTCCATTTGAGTGATCGAGAGAATGTGTAAAAAAGACAGATTTCTAAGCGAGTCATATATGCAATGTAATCTTAATATTTTCCGCCCTTTACGCTTTTTGCTTTTCACTTAAACTAAATAATAACCTAGAAAGGCGGGTGATCACGATGTAGTAGTTTTATTCTTTCGTCTCAGGCCTAAGAATTCCCTCAATTTATTAGGAGACAGTTGCCGTAGAACAGAGGATCTCTTTGCATAGTGAAAGCTCGAGGGAAAACATAAAAATGCGCACGTAACTGAACTACTCAGGCTCAGCTAAATAGTATTAAAATACTGCTATATATATATGCATGAACCAATGAAAATTTCGCCTATTACTAGGCATGTGGGTTAAGTAAGCTACAAATCATCGGACAGGGGACCTGGCAATATAAAGTTCACGAGAAAGCAGCAATTTGTTCAGATTCACGTACAAGCTAGGACAAATTATTTTGGAGACGTATTATTGTGTAGAGGTATCGCATTCATTGACTTAGTTGCATCTTCCAGAGTAGTAATCTGCATTTGGGCTGATTGGATTGAAGATATCCACAACCGACGACCTGTGATTGCAGTAAAGTGAAGCCCTTTCGAGATTTGCATTGTTGTCGTATATATAACACTGGCTATTATTCATTTCATACATGTGTATGCATATAATATTTGGGTTCGTTTGTATCGGGTGTATAGAATCAGTATGGAAGTTAGTAGCGAGACAAAAGCAAAAACAATCAATCTATACACACACACGCGCGCAAATGTATCTACCCTTTACATACATAGGTCACTAAGTGGTATCGGCTGTGTGCGAGCGATGACGGTTTGGGCCCGCCGGTCAGGAGGCCACGGGTCAGTCAGGACAAGTGACCATCGCGATTTTGGGCCAAAGCGTCAGGTTTTAGCGACAGTAAATTTAAAAAAAAACGTTTATTTACCGAACGTATTTTTGGTTTTGTCTGATGCTGATGGGTCTGATGGGCTTTTAGAATTTTCAATGGCGTCAGACATACCGGAAGGACAGTCCACCTTTGGGCAGCACTGGCCTGGCTGCTTTGTGATCGTGCAATCCTCGCCCAGTGCCTTTACGTATGGACACACATTCAGGTAGCACATGAGCATCGAGTCCTGACATGTGCAGTTAAGGCAAGGCTCCTGCGTCACGATCGATGCTCTATTCTCATAATGTGAAAAATTGTACGTGCATCCCATTTCGCTGCGTGAACGACGTGGCTTACTCTGAAACTTTGCAGGAGCTGAAAATACAAAATATACCATGGAAAATATATTATGTTAGTCGTCATTAGAGACAGTGTGTTACACTTCTCTAGAGCCTCTAAAACTGTTTGTATCGAAGTATTAATCCTCCTCTTGGCCGTTAATATGTCCTCAATTCGCTGTCTAAAAATGCTTGAAGATCATTTGCTAGCAACTATTACATATGTACATATGCCGATAAGTATAGTTGTGGTGTTCCGCTCCGAGTTTGAACCGCTGGATGCGTAACTTAATGAAAGGTGGTTATTGCGGCGTAAGTTTCTGAAGGTGCTTCACTTTCTCTAACGACACTGCACAGACACGTACGCGGTGGTGGCTCGAAAATGTTGTTACAGACATTGGACAGTGAATGTAAAGTGCTATTTAATAGCAACTCGAACGATATCACTGTTAGCTCTGGAAAGGGCAAAAGTGGTAAGAAAGGAAATTCTTCTGGGCTGAACTAGTATTTGCAAGTAGTATTTTGCCATAGCAGCCAAACAAGAACCATGAATTGTTCCGCTTGGCCATAAATAAAAAAAAAAACGTGAAGGACGGGATCGATATCAATAACGTGACAAGTCAAGTGTTCATATCTATTGTTATACTGTCTGTATTTACTTAAGTGGTTTCTACAAAACGTAAGGCACGTTCTGGTGCGCGGATAATTTCAGCTGTCAGCTTGGTGCTCAGTGCGATATCGTTCTCGAGGATCATTTATCAGGAGTCAACTATTTACTAATTATAGTAGGCTTGGCTAGAGAGCTATTCCTCTTACACTTCATGAGGACTACGGCGGAACAGAATAGCTTAATCTATGATCTTACGTTTGCAGTGGTGATGATCATAATTATAATTAAGGCATAGTTCACAACGAGAAAGTCATCCATTCGCAATTTGCCATTGCTCTAGCACATAGCGCCTTCATTACCTATGACTTCTTAGCTTAGAGTGTTTCGTTCTTTCATTGCTGTTAGAGTTATGTGTGATCTCACTTGCCGTCAACGTGAACGTGCTTATACGCAACAGAGCATCATTTTTATTTTGTGATTTTTCCATTTCGAACCGACAACTCTCATGATCAGGTGCATCAGAGCAGATCGGAGGTGTCTGCAATGTACGATCCAGTTGGTCTCGAAATTCTTATAGAATTACACCGTACTGCGCGTAATACAGTTTGACTCAATTTTAGATAGTAAAAACAGGAGGGAGATAATTAAATACGCTGAACAAAATGAAAAACCTTGCTCTTCGAGTGAGTTATTCCGGAAAAGCTGCGTTTAATTCCGCTTAGCGTATGGGAAAACCGTTGTCATCATGTCGCGCTAGCTACTGATCCAGCTGGTTGCTATCAAGCTCGATCTGCGGCCGATCCAAATGACCACCGAAAAGCTGTATTATTCCATCTGAGTAACCCAACACGGTACACATGTCAGATCGAAGATTTTCCGAATAAGTACCATATTGTTTGTATGTGAAAGCTCACCCTTTTACGTTCATACATTGAAATTGATTTATCCATTTCGGTGTCCCGCGGCTTTTGTTAAAATCAAATCCTCTATATTTTCAGCTTAAATATCGACTCCAAGTTGTAGGTCGTTTCGCAAGCGGGCATTTCGTGTACGGGTGTATAGTACGTGTTAGTAGGATGGCACTTTTCCCCTAAGAGTATTGCTGGGAAGCTGTGTGTGGACATTCTTATTTTCACTTTCTATATTTATATAAACGGTCCATCCACTTTACCACTGACGCAAGAGACGCGAAGAAAGCGCTAAGAATTTATCAACTCTGATTCAATGGTCCCTAGATAGTCGACAAGAGATTCAAAACACTCAAGAGTTGCACTTCGCTAAAGTGACAACAATAAACGAACCTCAATAGCTCCGTGGGCGAGAATGTAAATATTTTTAAGTTCTAACAAACGTACGAACAGATATTAAATAAAGTAATTTTCAAAACAGTCGGGCAGGAACATCTGTAAGAGTTGATCAGACACAGAAAGCAAATGATGTGTTGACTCCTCGCAGTACTAGCGGTCTGTCCAAGATATAGGCCATATGTTCGGTAATAACACATATTTTTTAACGAATTAAAATATCTAGATAGAGAGAAAAAAAAACATTGTCTCGGATGGGTGCTGGAAATGGCGCATGCTTATGTCCCGATAAACAATTTAACTTTCAACCAACTTCCTAATATCGAAGTGTACGACCGAAAACTCTCCGGTAACGGTCCGAAAGTTATCGACGGAAACCATCTGTTCGAGTAAAACGCTATAAAACGTAAAATCACATTTGCGTCAGCTAGCTCCGTTCAAATCTGTACATTCTACACCTTAATCGTCGCTACGCTTCTTTCCACTTGACTATAATGATGGTTTTGAATTTGTACTAAAAATAAAAAAAAAAAGGTATTACTATACTGTAAAGTAATTACTTTACAACATCCACGCTTTTATAGCTCTCGAGTCGATCTTTTGACGCGTCTACGTATGTTAAGGGAGAAGTTATCGGTTTATTGGAATTTCACTCATTATAGGGTAATTCTCATTTCAGGATGAATTGTCAGGCTATTGTTTCAACGTCAGGTCGTCAGTGTTACAAAGTGACAAACAGAAAATCCCTTGAAGAGGTCGTTCCTTTGTTTGACCTAGCCTTATCTTCCTTTAGCACTAAGCTCTTGACACTTGTAATTGTAGCAGTATGCTAAACGTAAGAAAATACTTCGTGAGGTAAATTAACAATGGCAGCATTTTTATATTATATTTATTTTTAATATATATATTTTTTAAATTTATTGTATTTAATATTATATATTATTTTATATTATATAAGCTTACGCTTGCTATAAACACAAACTGTACACCGCAATTAATGTGCGAATCTGGTAGAACCTAGAAACACGATGACCACTAATTTAGTCGATTAATCATTCTTATACAGTCCTTATCAAACATATGTGGCCTTCTACAATTTACTAGCCTGGGGTCCTACTACACGTATGAGTAGAACTATTCGGCAAATTCTATGCCATCTGATGTCCATTATACTGGACTGCTCAGAACCTTTGAAACGATATAACCACCCAGCGAGAACATAGACAACGCCCCATTCGCAGACTTTCAAACAACAGCGATTGAAGCCGTCTAACAAGTAGCATTTTTATTATCAATAAATGTGATATATTGTCCTTGAGGAGCGGTCTACGGCATTTTTTCCTTGGAAAATTTCATTTTTCACCCTTAGATAGATTTTGCTTTTACATTAACATGTCTTATGCAGAGGGTGCTGTATGGGGAGCACGCAATGATCTTCGTTTGATCCTTGTAATTTGAGTGTCATGTTTTTGGTGTAGAAGTGCGTTTTTAAGAGGACTTTTATTTTGCTCACAAGTTTACTTCTTTTTGTTTGGATAATTAGCTGCTGCCTGTGATTACATTTTTGAAGGTAAATTCGCGATCTGTAAGTCCTTTTGCCCCCGAAACAGTGTATTTCTTTTCTTTAGCCCAGCTATAAGATCCTAATGAATTCCTCAACGATCAGGAGCAACTCGCTCGTAATACAGACCAAAGTAGACGTCCAATTATTTTAGATGTTTGTCTAGAATGAGTTTACAAGTTACGTCCGAGCGTCCTGAGATTGCAGTCTGCTTTTTTTCTCAAAAACAAAGCGCGCGCTCACCAATATTATCTTTGTTAGTGTGTCTTTGGCAATTGACTGTTGACAACTGTTTGTTAGAAAGGCAGAATGCTAAATAAATATGTCATTTCGAAGGCATGTGTTTTTCTGTCGTTAGCCGATCTCAGAATCCGGTAGCCCTTCCAATTGTTAGAAAAGCAACTGATATTAATGGTGAACTTCTAAGTTTCTGTCGTCTACAAAACTTCTCAACCGTGTTGGCTCACAGACGTTTATACCGATTTGATTGACAACAGAAGTGATGAAGCTAAACCGCGATGACGACATAGAAATATAGGTATCAAAACAGGAAAGCGTATTTAATTGTTTCTGTTTCTATTTCTATTTATAAGATGTTAAATTTCATATAGTGTATGCAAAAGCGGAAAAAGCCACCAGATCGAAAGTTCAATAGAAGACAATATTTTTGACATCTATTAACAAGCAACATTATGTTTTCAAGTTCATTTTATACAGCGCGTCAACACAAGGGCATGCAAAGTGAAAGGCATCTAACATCAAGATAATGTTATAGAAAAAAAAAAATAACTATCTAGAAACGTCGCGGATATTCCCTGGTAATTAGTTTTAAACATTCATTATCTGTTCGTCGGACGAGCTCTGAACGCGATAAAACAATCTAATGCCACACAGTGATTATGGATTACGAGCAGGAACGTCTTTCTTTACTACGATCACATACGATTCTTGGGTCTCGAAACATAAGCGTTGCATGAACTTAGCGTACCTTTTTGAGGTAAGTATCGCTCGTATTGACGTTGTATTGACTTTGCCGTTTTTTTTTCAAGGACAATTCCTTACCCATTTTGGGTTATGCGATTTTTTGTGGCCACCTTGCCATCACTGCAGTGTTCAGGGAATCCATCGACATGGAAGCTGCACAAAAGCGACAAACAGTAGCAAAAGTGTCGCGTGCCGACACTTTGTTTACTGCTGTCATCGAGAAAATGAATCTTTCGCATCGTGCCTTACCACGAACACGACATCGCTCAACAAGAAATACTAAAATTGGATCATTGGCAAAATTTCTAGAAGCAGCTCTGAAGCGCCTTACCGCATCGACATTCAAATCAGCCAACCTATCGATTACGATCAGGAAGTGCTTGACCCCTAAGCCTGTGCATGTGTCGCATAGATAAAATCCACTGTTCCTACATATACATTCTCAAGCGCTGCTTGGAAATCCGGTGCAAACAGACGTCGACAATAGATCTCCAAAACGTCATGTTCTAATACGATAGTGATTACAAATAAGAAACTATCTTAATATGGCAGTTTGAATTCGGTAAAAACAGTTATCC